ACTTGACAGCCATTCGGGGCCCAGCTTTCGGAAACTAACATCCTAACTTTGAGAAATCACAGTGCATCCGCCTGCGCCAAGTCATTTTCGGCCAGAGATGCGCGCACTCCCATCAAAGCTGTTTGGTTAAGTTCCAATGTGAGTGCGCAGCGAGTCATGCCACGACAACTCATCAGGGCTGATGCAACCAAGCAATATCCGAACCTTGTACCTATCACAAAGCTGAAGCTATGATTCATGCTCCCCTCATCTCCCATGCCTAAGGTACAAAGGCCACATGTTTCACTCTGCATAGGCAAACCTGAGACTGTATACGAATGTCTTTGGTTACTGCTACTGCTTGGACATTGGTGCCTGCAGTGCCTTGCAGTGCCTGGGGGCCAGGCTGCCGCCCACTGGTAGCGAGCATCCCGAAAGCTGGAAGGTGACGTTCTTAGCAACCGCGAAGCCCCGCGAAGCCGTGGAGGGGTTTGGGATGCTTTGGGGGTGAGACCCGTAAGCGCACGTCTGAAAGTCAAAGCACGCTGGCTTGCCAAAATGAAATCTTGGAAAAGGCAGCCGTTGTTTCGAACTCAGTTTTTTTGGCTCAGTGTTCGCTGCATTTGGCAGCTGAAATTGGAGGTCACTGGAGTTTGTGCAGTGCTTGGGAGTTGAGCGCTGCAATACTTATCGTGCAGCTAGGGATTTCTAAGACCAACTTTCCGCAGTAAGGACCGCTGGGGAACAAAGCCAGTTCTAAATGTGAGTTACAGGGACAGACGTTAGCAAGAACACTTGCCGGATCTCCGCAGCTCTGTCATGCAGCATTTGCATTTCCAGGGTCCTGTGTAGGAGCTCGGAAGAACATCACGCCCGGGGCGATTGTCTTTGGGACTCCGGCTCAAGATAACAATTGCATCCTGAGCTTTAATCCCACAGAATCACACTTCCTAGAAAGGATTCTTTGCAAGACTACGTTGCTTGTCTGAAGAGACTTGGGCAAGAAATAAAAAAAAGCGTCATGCCGGAAATGTGTCAGACGCCATGTGCGCGCGGGTCTTACACATCTTTCAGAACACAGTTATGCCTTCGCTACAAATTGCATCAAACCAGTGCTACCTCTTGCCAGTCATCTAAGGTCAATGCTGCCGTTGCAGCCATGCTCCCATTGTGTGGACTCTTTCAAGGTGCACGTGTGCTGCTTCAATTGTGTCTGCACTTCTTTATAATCATATTTCCAATGCCCAATCCAATCCCTGTCGCGCTCTATGATGCAACTTTTCACAAAGCGATGCAACTTCATTTCATTACCTAGTAGTATACCCTACACCCGCAACCCTTGTAGCACATGTAGCACTTGACAATTAAACGCCCTCCGCGTCTGCCGACAACTAGTTCTGGCTTCAACGCATTGAAGTCATATGCTGGGTCTAGGGCCGTGCAGCTAACCATAACATTGCCCGGGATGCGGCAGTTGGGGCCCCCTGGCGGAAGAGACAATGGCAGAGCCAAGAACAGCGATGATAGCAAAGTAATACTATAATTACTCTGGAGTAGCAATGGCCGTTACGTATAGCCAAGCTGATAGTAATGATGAAAAATCTAGACAAAAACAACCCAATTACGCACACTGAGCTGAGAACTCATTGTTGGCGGAATTAAACCTGTATAGACCATCATTATCATCATAATCCTCGCTGCTGTCATTTGATAAACCTTTGTGTTGACAGGCGTGTCAGGCATATCAATCTGAATAGGCTTCCTGCCCGAACCCATAGTTTGGAGCCCAACCTGCCTAAGGCATTGGAAAGGGCTTGCACGTCCGTGTTGACCATCCCCTGAGTTATGCACGAGATGCGCAATTCAGCCACGTTATTGAACTTGGTCAGCATAGGCTTTGGACACAAAGCTTCAAGGACTCTCGCGACCAAAAGCTCTGCGGATATGGAGATGCCACGCAAGGATTTCAGCTTTTGGATTGCGTGTCTTTGAAAAGTCATTAAACTACTTGAAAGCAGCTGAGTTGCTGTTCTGGATCTTGCTCGACTTCCAATACTTTCCGTGTTCGCACTGGAAGTCTCCACAAACAAAGTTCATCTTTCTTCCACATGTCCAGTGGCTCTGGTAAGCACAACACATCACTCATCACTTTCTTTCGTACACACACTCTCCCGTCCTCTCGGCAAAAAGCAACTTTAATCCCACCAGCAAGCCGTTCAGGGTCAACAGCTGCAGCACGCTCTAGGACCGCGAGAACGTAAGGTCTTCTTGCTGTGCTGTAGGGAGCAGAGTACAGAGCCGCACTGTTTTCTGAAGTCATTTAGATTCATGTTTTGCGTGTAGAGAAGAGAGACATTGCGCTTTACACTCACAAACGCATTGGATCGACAGCTAAGAGCGTGGCGACAACAGCCTTGGCTGCTTTGCTAAAGGGGAGCCGGGGCTTGGATACTCGAGGCTTCAGACTGCGAGGGTTTGGGTGTCGTAGAGCTGCTGACGCTACTACAATGCCATTGCACGTCTGGTTGTGAGCTTGACATCTGTGATCTTTCCTGCACGCCTCTGCAAGACACGGGTAAAGCAGGGTCAAACAAATGCATTGAAGGGCTTGCGAAGTTTCAACCACAAAGCCTTCTCAGCAGAGAAAAACGATGCAGACGATTGGACCCTGCAAAGCACAGAGCCTGACGAAGAGCACTTCAGCCACACCGGCGAATCGTACCACAAAAAGGTAAAGAGAAGGGTGCAGATTCTAGCGCGGGAGGGTTTGTGGACTTTGGGGTTGGGAGTTCAGGGCCAGTCATACCCCAAACAAGCAAGCAATTCAACTAGTTCCATTTAAACTAAGCCCCCAAGAAGCCGATGTCCTGTGAGCTGAGTGCGTCTTTGTACAAATTAGAAGCACTCCAACTTGAAACAGAAACCCACAAATGCCAACACCTGTAAACCATCTTCGCGTGCTAGGACACTAATGTTCGCATCAAAGCAGCCACATTGTCTGTGATAATCATGTAAACGGGACCACGTCGCAAGGGGGCGAACTCCAATGTAAGACCGTCCTTCAGGCATGAAGTTCTGATGAGGTGCTTGTGCCGTTGTTGCCTTTCTGCTTGCTAGACAAGCTTCTTGAGTATGTGCTTTCTGGGAGCTCAGGACTTGCCAGCTGCGAGGTTGGAGAAAGAAGAGCTAGCTGCGGTAAAGGTACCAAGGTACGCGGATGTACGCGGTCAAGGCTCACTGGTAGAACAGTCGCCAGGTGGTTGTCAAGCAGGGTCTAAAATAGACTTTGCATTTCATACCCGTGAGCACAGATTAAATGAAGATACATGAGCCATAGTCTAAACTCCCTAAAGGAGGTTATATAGGGGATTATATAGGGGACTACTATAGGGGTTATTAAGGGGCATACTAGGAGTTTAGACAATGGTTCACATGAAGCAGACGCTGGGGCCAATAACCCCACCCGAAGACAAGCTTTGCAGAAAACCTTCAGCTTTGATGCTCTCTTTGTCAGCGGCTTCCTCAGAGACTCCGGTAAACTTTGTGATCACGACTTGCGGAACCTCAGGCTAGTGATTCATGCGCAGGACACTTGGAAAGCAAATCGGCCAAAGCGTTGTAAGGTTTAAGTAGGTGATTGTCCCGCACGGTGCTGTGTTGTAAAGGACCGGTCAGTTGCCTTCTTGTTAAGAGTATTTGGCAATTACTTGTTATTATGCTGCTTGAATGTCTAGAACCAGCACCAGTCAAGAACCTCTCCGTGTCCACCCGACTCCGCATGTCTGCTTCGCAACTACTCGAATACGTTGAGTTCAAGTTTAACACATCTGCCGAATTTTGAGTTGCCTGTGGTTCTCGTTCGTGTCCGTGAGAACTACCCCACACATCCCCACACTTCAAGCTTTCAAGTCTTCTTGCTATCTGAAGCCTAAGCCCTGGCTGTGTCATGTTGAGCTCAAAGAGTCGCCTGCGGAACTTGGTAGGGTGCTAGGACAGGCAAGTTGTCATCGAAGTCAGCCGCTCAGCGGCTCTGAATTTCACACTTTGTTCTTTCCAGACCCCTGAATCCCCAACGAATCTGTTTTTCCGTCACACGCATTCTACTCTGGCTACAATTGTCATCTGGCTTGGGCATCTGCTACATTCTGCTACGTGATGACGGGTTCGCTCTTCTCTCAAGTTCCTCAGGTGTAGGAACCCTCTGATTCGGACCTGGCGTCATCTATGCTGCCGGAAAGCATCGAAGACATCAAGCACGCGAACGCCCTGCTCTATGAACCTCCAGGGCATCTTCAAACCTACTTTACAGTATCTCAAAATCACTTGTCTTTGTGCTCATTGCCCTGCTTGCCCCTGTCTAACTCTGCGGCCACTACTTTGCAGAATTGTGCCAAATCTTTCCTAGCAAGCCCCCCGGCAAGCGCACCTGAACCGCGACTGTTCAAGGGCTTGATGTGCAAACCATAAACACTGAAACAAGGAGACCAATGACGACCAATGACTTGCCACCGCCCCTGCTGTGGTAACTAGAGCGTTGGCCCTCCAGCTTCAGCCGCGCTGCAGCGTCTGATTCTCCAAAATAGGAACATTCTGGCAGAAGTCGATAACTTCCTTTTGATGCGAGCAATTGATGCTGCTGATTATGCACATCATGCAGGGGATGTGTCAGAACAGTGGTTACCTACGACTGCTCTAGAAGCGCTGAAATTGCTTGAAAGACCATCAGTTTCCGACATACGCACTTGAATACTCAGCTCAGATGCTGTGGTTCCATGCTCCGCCGCTTGTTTTGTGCCAGCACTTGATATTCCACAACACATGAGCAGCTGTGTGAGAGCAACATTATTCGGGTACCACTTAGAAGCACGGACACAGTTTAAGTAGCACATGTGGGCCACCCACAGCCTGGCTCAAGCAACGCAAAATCTGTTCACAGCGGCTGCGTAGCAGTCCCACCGGCGGAAGATAATGGATTGGTGCCCTCTTGTGAGATCCATTTCTGGCTGTGCAACCAAAGGCTCGATGGAGTTGGGGGTCGTCTGCTCTGCCAGCGAGGACTTGGTGTAGATGGAGAAGTAGTTATACCCTGGCGGGGGCGTCGGTTGGTAGCGTTTCTGGCTAAAAAGCGACTACTCGAGATCCTGAAGTTTTAGCTTACCAGCTGCAAAGCCAGCGCAAGGAAACACAAGTCTGTGCCCCTGCACGCCTGCGAGCTATCCCTCAACCGAGCCTGATTACAAGAATGTTGGGTGGTGAGAAAGGGGTCTATTATCCCAATACATGAAACCAATGCTCGAGCCAAAAAACCTTGAATACACCTAACCCTGACCGCCAGCGCATGTCCTGATTGTGGGGTCTGAAACGGCATGTTGTAGAAGTTGAGCTGCCCAGCGACCTCGAACCTTGGCATGCGCTTGTGTAATAATATAAGGCCTAAGAACTAAAATTGAGTGGATTCCGTATAGCTGCCCGAGGAATAAGAAGTTTTAATTGCGACTGGTAGCTACCATGATTGAGAGATATTGGGTACCTCTGCTGCTTTTGCACACCATGTCAATAGTGTCCCTGCCCTCGGCCTTCTGCCGTGTTGCTGGGAGGACAGCTGACTGCCAAAGCATGTGCCCTGATCCCAGGAGCAAACCTTTTGATGCCCTCGGATCGGGTTCTGGCAAAATTGTGTCAATAACAAGGCTCCCTCCAAACTTGAACATTTCTGATGAGAACTGACACTCTGCTGGCTACATAAGTCATTACTAACACGTAGCACATGTACCAAACCAACCGCATGTGTCTGACCCGACGCCACAAAAAGGCACAGGCGGGAATCTCGCATCAGTGGATCTTAAAAGCAAAGGCGCTCGAACCGGCGACTTCCATAAGCCGTACCAGTGGCCAGGGTAAAGTAGCCGACATAGAAGTCTACCTCTCCGTCGTACGGGCTTCCCGGAACAAGAGGAATGTCCATACAGCAACAGAGTCAGAATGGTGACAAAACATACCTCAACATGTTCTACAAGCTACAACATTGATAACATCGGGCGTGAGGCCTGAAGCTTTTCGGAGAAAGCTCAGGACTGGGCAGGGTGCGAATCTAGACGACTGGAACTCAACACGGCAGGAGATCGATCTCGAATCTTCAGAAAGTTTTTTCGTGTTTTCACATATTCAAGCCTCAGAGTCCTGGTCTTGGTAGCGAAAGATACCGGAATGGCAAGGACATGTCAAGCTTTTGCAAACTCGCCCGCCTTTCATGCATTGGTGATGGTTTGGCCGTGTCTAACATGTTGCTTGCCCCTAGTCAGGGCATCACTGTGGCATCCCAAGAAGGGATTCTCAACTTGGAGACGTAGTCGATCTTGTTCTAGCGCCGCTCAGACATGAGATGGGAACTTACCTCGATCCTGAATGATATCTTGCGAGCTCACTCAAAGACGAGATTTGACATTGGGACCCTCCGCACATTTGGCCAACATGCACCTCGGAGGTATCGTTTGGCGGGTCCCACCGGAATTCGCCACCAAGCATGTCGATGTCCTTGCAAGCTGAGCATCGGCTCGGTACGAAAATGTGGCGTCACGCAACGCTTCTACTGCTGTTGTCTCAGCACTGCTGTGGCTCCTGGTCGGTGTCCATGAAGTAGATGCTGCCAACGGTGGCGATCTCATCCTGATGGCATCTCATGACAGTGGTCCGTGCTTGAGGGTCTTAGCTTGAGACCATCTCCCGTGCTTCTTCATACTGTTGAATCCTGACTAGCATGGGTCCCTCATTGTGTGAAGTTGTTTCCGGCAGTTCTTCAGCAATCATCCGTATGAGATGCTGGCCCTGGATGCGTCCACGTATTCTTGCCGGTAAGGTTTTTTGGGAGTCAAGTAGGAAGTCGACGAGACTGTAAGACCCTACACATCCCTACACTTTCGAGCTGAAGGCTTGAAAGCATTAAGCTTCGGAATTCCTCAAGAGGGCATTGCCAGGCATAATCTGGAATGCCTAGCCGTCCTAATTTCCTGACACTTCTGGAATACCCAGAATCCCAGAATCTTCAGGGTGCAAGGCTCCACCCGCTAAATCTCAAGGCCTCAAGGCTAAGACGACTTTAAGCCTTGTAATCTGGAGCTGCCGGTCGTTTCCACAACCACCGATTTGTAAAAAGACTTTGCCCAGCTGACGTGGGCCATCTTGAGTACTGCTACTCGGAGGTCCTGGACACATTCATGTCCTGAGGAAGAAGAAATGCTGCGGTGTCATCATTCTAAGGTCCTCCCTGGCACGCTGCGGGTTTGTTTTTGGACTCCTTCCATTCTCGGGCCTCTGATTGCTAGCTAAAACAAGACACCGGAACGTCGTTAACCCTCCCTCATGATACCCATATCATGGCAAGAACTGACACCCTGCTCTATGCCAAGCATCTACAATCGGCAGCGCCACTGCTGTTGACTGCTCCACCAGACTGGAGTGAGTAAACACAGCCACCTCCTGAAGCATTAGCAACCCTGACTCTTTCTTTTGTCTACGTGGCAGGAGTAAAGACCCCGCAACAAGTCATGCGAAGGATGGCAAACGGGATGGATGCTGCCAAAGGTGAGGAAATCCTTACATGTGAAACGGAGCGACAGGAATGCTTGCTTCCCTTTGGAAGGAGGGTTGTTGCCAAGTCTGCTTTTGGATTCTCAGGCTGCGACAGGCCGTTCGATGTCACACTGTCCAGAGTTGGGCAGCGGCTGTGCCCGCAAGCTGCTTTAAAAAGATGCCAAATACACGTTGAGGCCCTTGAGGTGTATTGCTTGCTTTGTTGCACCGTTGGGTATCTCAGCCCCGCGATGAAGAACTCTGCTGGACTGCTAATTTCAGGTGAGCAAGAGAAGAGGATCTGCTCGTTGTTACATGCAAAGCTGCCCGCTACGCATCATGTGCCAGATATACCCAACTCCCGTCAACCGCGCAAAGTCTACCTGCAACTTGAAGGAGGCTGCCATGGGCCATCGGCATCACATCTGTGCCTGAAGAATGTGGACAACCCCAACACGGCAGAGATTTTGTCTCCACACCGACAGCACCACCACTGCAGGTACATGTTCGGGTTGCCGATTTGTTGGGATTTCCAAATAAGACCTTTACCAAGCCGCCCAGGCCGCGGCGCGCAAAAACCCGTCAATAGACTTGCTGTCATATGTGCTTTGGGGATTCGGGCTTAGGTCCGCAGGGCAGCATGCGAGCCCCCAAAGCAAGTTGATGCATCAGGTTATTCTGGCCTTGCCGCCGACCTTGAAAATTATCCTTGGATGCTCCCTAAACTTATGCTAACGTCTGCAAACACGAACTGGCCCCCCTCCTGAAAGGTGCCGATGGAAGTGTCGGCATTGATGAACTCGCGCCTCAAATAAGTTGTGTCTGCTTATTCTATCTAATCCTATACGACGCAAAGCACCCTTCCCGCGAATCCTTCCCCGGCTCAAAGCGTACCTTATCTTGCACATCATGGCTTCCGCCAACCTTTCGCGAACTATCATGCTTCTTCAGAAGATGTCCCCGGCTTGGCCACTCGTGGTGTGACGTTTGTTTCTGGCGAAGCATGGCGAAGCTACTACAAGTAAGCCTGTGCTTATCATTGAGCAGGAAGACTAGTATTTACGGAAACTTACGTGGGATGATCTTGTTGCTCTTGGCGCGCATGCACGAGACATGTGGACTGGGCTTCAAGAAGGCCTCCAGCCTTCAGTGAACCTTGCACAAGCTTTCCGCGGAGCTTCCGCGAAGTTACTCTCGGCAACCCTGAAACCCCAACCTCCACACCCGCTTCGGCTAATTGGCATTTCAAGCAGAAAGGATCAGCAAGGGCGCTTGTTGTGAATCGTGAATCCTGCTTCTTTTACGGAATGTATGAATGTGTACTCCGCTTTCTAAGGGGGAGCTTCGCGAAGCCATCCCCACCGGCAGACTTCCTACGAGTTTCGTGCACATTTCTTCGATCGGACTCAAATCTTGTCTCACCACACCGCAGCTCCAATAGATAAATTACAACTAGGCTGGCTTTCTCGTCTTATGCACTGTGCTATAAGTACAATGGCTAGCAAGCTCCTGTCATCATCACTGCAAGGTTGTGAAAACCAAGCCATCCAAGCTGGAATCCAGCCCAGCTGCTCCACTCCTGCAGGCACGAGCCCTGCAGGCCCGGAGCCTGCAACCTGAGCAACACTAAGCCACAAGCAGACTACAGCTTGCGTCAGCTTGCAGTCAGCCTGCAGTCAGGCAACATGCAGTGCAGTACACCAAACATCCATTGAGACATGGGGACTTCAAAACTTCAAGGTTGGGCTGTAAATTTCCTGCCTGCGAACGCTGCGCCATGGAATCTGGGCGGATGAAGACGCCGTAGTACGTGACCTGCCAAGATCCGGCAACGACACACTTCCACAGAGCTTGTGTCTGTTTGGGTCTTGGTGACCAGTCGGCTTGGCATGAAACATCTTGTTCTTCAAGTCTCTTGTATCTCTTGGGCAAAATGCCTGCCGGCCATGCGGTCGTGCATGTGACACAATGATGGGCTGAGGACCTGCCCTGGGGTTAATGCCCTCTTCACAGTCTAGACGCTAATGCAGACTAGCAAAAGTTTCTCAGTCGATTCCCCTTCGCAAAAAATGACCTCCCTTCGCTTCGTAAGAAAAATCTGGCCGGATTGGTAATTAATGCGGGTGGTTCTCTTTCACAGTCCCATGGTAGCTTCAGAAACTAATACTAGCTGCCAATGACTCCTCTTGAAATCAACCTAACCCTGATAAAAGATTCTGGATCGCTCCTCATTCATCGTTAATCTATGCCGAATCAACTGGCTTCCAGGATGACAGCCCTCCGCTCTCAGCATTTGTTGTCAGGGGGTGCTGTTACTCCGGGGAGAAGTAGTCTTCTTGTCAACCTGCCACTGAAAACTGGAAGTCTACCATTCCCATGATGCTCCTACTCCTGCTTGCTATTCAGCCTGCAAACCCCAAGCCGCCAGCGACCCCGAACCTCGAACTTCAGTGATGCTACAGAAGCACTATGTGTTTCAGGAACTTTCAGGAAGGACGCTGGTCTGTTGACCTTTTTGGACAGCGATGTTCACCCAACAGTACGTACCTTTTTGATGATGTGTTCAAGTGGGGAAAGTTTCGAATAGAGCCTGCGCTGAATGGCTAAAGCCTGGGCCCAAAGCCACCTGATCAGCATCTTCTGGGGCGTCCCAGAAAATGTCGCCGCCCATTTCTGTCCTGTCGTGTTTTTCCAGTCTGCTGAAACATGATAACTTTTGCATGACTTACATGTGATTCTTCACCTTTTTTAAACCAGCGAGGGAAGCAACAACCCAGGTATTGAGGTTTGCAAGCCGTCACAGCACAACGTAAGCATTTGCTGAGTGCAGGCACAGGAGCTCATCCAAATCCTTGTCTTGAAATACGATGTTGGACACGCTGGCATCGGTGTCATTAATTGCCTGAGCACTCAAGGCTGATGCTCTGCAAATACTGTATCTAAGGGTTCTTGAGGCTCACAGTCTACAGGTTGTGGGGTTGTGGTGGGGCAGCGAACTCCTCAGCTTGGATCCATTCAGGGCTTTTTTGGCGAGTACCCAAACTCATTCTGCAGAGAACTTCTACCCCCGGCAGTCCTGGAATCCTTAAAGAGGCACCGGCTAGATTCTGCTTAACAACATCCAGGAAAATCACGCGCATGCTCTGCAGCGAAGTGCTCCCAACCCTCGAGAAAAGGCACCGGAACAACTAGGCTCACACATCGAGAACAGTGGTAGAAGGTTCAAAGAGTCTGCAACTTTCAAGGCCAGGACAACAATTCCTTCATGTTGCCGTCTCTGCGCAGCACAGCCATGTGACTGGCAGACGCATGAGAGACGACAATGACCGTGGCCCATATGCAGCCGAAAGGTTAGAAGAACTTCAGAACTCTGCAAATTTCAAATATCATCCCTAAGCACCGTCCATAAACCTCAGACCCTCCTCGTTCTCAGCCAGAATCCCGAGCAAGACGTGACAAAGTTGCGAGTGCGGACGGCGTTGTCTGCTCAACCAGTGCACTGCCAGCAAATATGACGAAGTGGGTGGCGGAGTTGTAGTAGACTTCGGGGGGCAAGAGTACCTGTGTGCTTGTTTGTGCGAGTTGAATGAGAAGCAGCGGACATGCAAATCAGCTAGGGCTTTGTGTGTAGAAGTTTAAGGAAAATTCAGCTGCTGTGGGAGCCTGCACATGTGTCATGAAGGCCGACTCACAAACGGTTTCGACCTGAAGTCTTACCAGAAGCCGCCACAATCCAAACAAGTACGAACCTGTGGCAATCTGTCAATTCCTCAGGCTCCCTGTGAATTAATGATGAGCTGGTTCAAACTCCCTCCTTGAAAGCCCTAGAAGCCTCGTTCACGTCCCAGGACACAAGCTCACCAATCTGCGAGCGGTTGCTGCCAGACCTGAGCTCAGAATACGAGTGCACAGAAAGCGTCACATGTGTCACTACGTGCCATAAATTCATCCGGGCGTGCCCGTCACAAAACATAATGAGCTGAGACTCGCGTCGTCCGCCAGATGGATGGTGAAGAATGTTACCTGGATCACGAATCGACCCAGAAGCTGAGCAATAGCAAAGGCATTATCGGCTGCGAGTTCAACTATGTACATAGATAAGATATGCACATGCGTATATACATAACTCTGCATATATATACATATATACATAATACATATATATATATATATACACGCGTGTGTGCATATGCTGATGAATCTTCTTTCTTCTTCCAACTCTGTCTTTATCCGCTGAGATGTGCACGCGTGCGTTCAGAAATGTGTGTGCCGTGGGACCGTGGGAGAACAAATGATGCCCCAACACAACACCTCCTCCACAGCCATTTCTGCACCCGGTCATTTCGGCCAATTCGGCCACAAATCTGCAGCTGACAGAAACCGCTCCGGAGGAAGTTGGGCTGTGGTTGGGCGACAGGGTTCAGGAGGTTTTCAACCTCACTGCTTTTGAAATCTTTGGAATACATCCTCCAGTCAGGTCTCTGTTTGTTGTAAACGCTGCTCCCCTCCCATCACAAGCGTGTTCTGGTGAATTCCTCAACTCCTGGACGTTGCGCTGCAAAGCCTAAAGATGGGAGAAGTCACACAACTCTCCCTCGTGGCTGAGGCAGCGGCGAAAAGAAAAAGTTGAACCAAAAAAAAAAAAAGTGTTGCTCAAAGTCAGAGCCTCGGCACAAGCGGGTCAAAATCCGGCTCAGGTGGTGTCCAGGAAAGTGTACCTCTTGGCAGAACAGACGACCGACCACCCAGCACCATAGTCCCCAAAAACACCTTCAGGTTCTCGAGTCTCTGACAGTACACTGTTCAGGTGCTAGCTTCGCATAGCGACAGGCCCAACACTTTATGTATACTTTTATTTCTTACGTACAAGACTGGGCCAAAGTCTTGACAACCCAGCGTAAACAGCCCCACGCAAAGGCTGAAGCATCACTGCCACTTGCATCTTGGCTCGAAAGATTGAGAGTCCGCAAGCTCTCCAGATACGGTTGTTGGGTCGTGAAACACGCGTGTGGGCTGGTACTGTTCTCATGCCAGAATCTGGATGAAGCTGTAGTTTTGGACATTCATGTTGCTTGTTCAGTTCTTTTTTCTTGAGGTTGTTTTGGTAGGAAACCCACTGTAGTTCCATGTGCTGAAATTTTGGCTTGGCTTTGGTGTATGCAATATAAAGACTACAAAAAGAAAGCAAAGAGTGCGTCAACAACGGGCTCCCTGTGATATGCATTGCCCTTCTTATGATTCAGCCTTCTTCAGCTCGTCAGGCAGTCCCTCAGAACGCGTTCTCAATGATTCAGGGTGCCATTTCTAGAAGGAAAAACCTCAGGCTTTGAGGTCCTCAAATAACTTACAACTCAAACTGTTGCTTACAGCCTCCCTCTGGCAAACCTGCATCAGAGCAGTCTGCCTCTGGCCCCAATTTAATTCCCACCTCCAATCTGCGTGTTGTCCAAATCCTTGTCTGTGAAGGTCACCTTTCGCATGATGTAAGCAAGCAGGGAAATTCATGATCACCAGTAAGATTGCAAGGAGTCGCATGCAGAGCGCGAACCATTCCTAAACATCTGCGAGATTTTGGGGGAGATATGCCTACATACTCTTGCTGGGTTTCCGTCTTTCGGCTACTGCTTCAGCTGCAGACTCTGCCTTGTTCCACTGAAGCCGAGAACTTGCCGACAACACATACATCTCCCGGATCCTGCCTGCACGATCGAAAAAGCATCGGTGATCGGCAAGTAGAAAGGGGTTGTCGACTCCACCAAAACAGATCCTTGCAAGGACATCTTTTCACACTCACCTAGGCGCATTGGCTCATGATCTGTCATGGATGGTTGCAAGTACTCCAAAGAGCCGCAGGGATCTCAACTTTGAGGGCTTCAGGAATTGCGATGTGGATGGCAGTTTATTCTCCTGAGGGTTTCTGGGCACCGGATGCTTCTGAAATCTAAGCCGTGCACCCACGAAGCCAGTGGCATGTTAGTTACGGAAAACTGGGCCTGCAAGAAGGTGGGGGCTGCCTCTCCCACGTCATCTCTTCTCGGCAACGCACCAGGTCATCTCCGGACAACTAAAAACATGAAGCCCGGCAACATGCTTCCCACTGGCTTCAAGCCTGGCACCAATCCATTGCGCAAGACGTTTCTGCTGCCTGGCCTCCCGAGGGTCGACCCCGGTTACCTACAAGCTTAGCGAGTGCGAGGTATTGCGGCGAGGGCTCGGGTGTAGACGACGATGTAGTCGCGGTTGAGCCGACGGGTCTCCGTAGCCAACACGGTCGACAGCTGCTCGAAGGGGACCTGGCTCTGAATTAGGTTGAAGGCCCGAAGGAAGACAAGACACGTAGAGCCGACCCGCATTTGGAAACCAACAACAACAGAAATCCGCAACAACAACAACAACAGCAGGGATCCATCCTGAACTGAGCCATAATTTTCGCCTTTCTCATCACGCCACGGACACTAGTCAAAGATGCTGACAACATTAATCAAGCTTTTTCAGTCAGACTCAGCACGCCTCAGCTCCAATCATCGATCGTCCAGCACCAGACGCACTCACAGCCAGGTACACCAGATAGTGCGTCACCTGCAAGGAGCTTGGGGTTCAAGGAACATGTATGGCAAGTATTCATCACAACTTCAAACCGCACCTGCGTGGCACCAAGGCAGCTTCAAAAGCAGAAATATGAGTCCATGGCCCTGCTTCCAGCCTGTGAGACCTCCAGAGGTGGCTCCCAAGAGATGTTCCCGCCAAGGTCCTCATATGTTGAGACTGCGGTGGTTGAGGGGGCTCCGGCTTGTGGGTGTTGATTGGCTTGTATCGGAGATGTCTGGGAGCCTGGGATCTCCTTCCAAGTGTCTTCATGCTCGTGCCCCGTGACCTGGACGAGGACCTTGAGATATGCGAGTGAGACGAAACCCGTGCCCGATCGCCCGCGCGGACAAGCCTGCTGCATACCCTTGAAACGCGGGGCTTGTACATACCCCTTGTCTCGTGTTGTCGCGCGCTTAAAAAAAAGACTTAGAATACTCATGATATTGGAGGGCTTCTTGCGACAGGCTCGCCCTTGTTACATACCCATTGTAACGGGGCATGTCACAAGCGTTGTTTTGCTTCAATCTCTTGGGCAGTTATGGGGTTGGCCTGGGTTACCCGCTTGCCGCTATGCTTTGCTTTGATTCTCGCTGGATGTCAGCTACGTTCGGACGGTTTCCATCTCGATTGCCAAGTATTGAAACAAATCCTTCATACTTGTATGTGGGTCTCTTGTTGCCCACGGCAACATTCACACTATATCTCAGCCGGCTTTCCTTTGATTGCCTGGGCTCTTCCACTGCCGGGGGTGATGCCTCTGGAGCAGGCCGAGATGCTGGCACTTCCCACAAGAAACTCGTACAATACTACTCACTTTTTCAAGCCTGAGATCATTACGATGCCTTTCCCCACCGGTATGACCAAAATGGCTTGAGTGCTTTTGTGATGTGCCATTGAATTTTCTTTCGTCATTCCAGCAATACGAATATTGTTTTTCGACACTCCACCTCCCGCATATCTGGCGCACATGGTTTCCAAGGATGGAACTTGCGCAGATGAACTTGAAAACAGGCCAAGACAAAGCCACTCAGTTGCTGGCTGGTCAAAAGACTTTAGCTACCGAAACGACATCATACTGTCAAAGCTCAAGCCCAATTGGGCTTCTGCATCACAGAGGTGTACACCTTTTGGGTTGCTTGCTGCGTCGTGCATACGCAAGAGTAGGCAGCTTCAGATATAGCATCAAATTCTTCGGACTGGCACAGCTGTCAGTAGGGGTCCTTGCAGTCGACTGGTCGGGGGCACTGGTCACTTCCTCCCTTTGATAGAGAGCTCCATTCACAAAACACAAGCATCAACTTTCAGGAGTTGTGACGAATTAGACCTATGAATACTGCAATCAAAAGATGCAAGTTGGCTTTCTCTTGCTGAATTTCAGCATTGTTGATTGCTACGGCTATGGCAGGCCCGCGGGAGATGAAATCCTCGCAACAGGTTATAATTTCTCAGCCGGGATAGTACATCTTTTACAGGGCAGGACGACGTCAATTGTTAATGACAAGCGAGCGCAGAGTTCACAACGAACCTCAATCCCAAACATCCTGAGCACTCCAGCGCGGACGCCTGAAAACGTGAAGCGCCACTTCAATTCAGAGAAGCGTCGCCCAAGTCCAAGTCCAGATCAAGGAAGGACACATTCAAGACCTTGACTAGCGCAACATTCAGAATCAGTGACGGTTCCCTTTCTTATGAAGCCCACAGCCAGTCCCTTGACACCCGACAAACCATCCAGTGTTGCATCTGGCTCATAGCCCCCCAAAAAATCCCGAGAAGCTAGTTTCATAAGACTATGCATTCTAATTACAACTGGGGCGGACATCAGATTAGGGGTATCACTGTTGGGATGGGGTATCGCTTCCTCATGAACTTTGATTGGTGTTTAATGCCGGGTACTGCTAAGACTACAGGAGCAAGGAAGGGGCATTATTGCTAGAAGTGGCGAATAACAGACAGTAACAGGCGTAGCATAGCAGCACTAGTAGTAGTGGTAGTGGTAGTGGTAGTGGTAGTGGTAGTGGTAGTAGTAGTAGTAGTAGTAGGAGGAGGAGGAGGAGGAGGCATTTCCCTGGTTCTCGCCACGGGCACCACGCCTAAATCAGGCTGGCGGCATTCAACAAATGGCATCGTGTGAAAGCTACGTAGCGTAAACATGGATTCCTCAATCTTCAACATGAAGCTTCTCAGGCAACCCAAACCATCTTGCTTGGGCGCATGACAGAACATCACGAACGAACAATAAATACTGGGGCATCGCATTGCTTTTGGGATAATGATTAAGCTTAGCCTACAGATGGTGTGAGTAATGCTTAACAGCCGCCCTACTACCCTAACGATTCCAGCTGTTGAATTCTGCCACATTGCCGGCGAGATGGTGTCGTTGATGGACGACGAGAAGGGTGTTGTGCGCTCAGCAAGGAGGGAGCTAGGGAAGATGGAGATCCAGCCTCATCTGGCTATGCGCCAAGCTAGGGTCTAGCTGTCTGTCTATCTATCTACATGTTTGACATGCCCATTAGAGTGTTCTTGTACCACAACTAGTATCTGGGAAGCTACACAAGTACCCCCAAGGCATCCCAAGGCCAACCTAGTGGCGCAAGCTCGTTGTTAATGAGCTTTGGAATTCACCCACCGTACCATATCTCAGGCTCTGCCACTCTGCAAGCCGAAGCTATGAAAGAAAGAAAGAGATACGTGTACGCATGCTCACAAAAAGGGGACATAAAATCATAAGGTCTCGATGTCATGATTATGCCGAGTGTACGAACAAGCCCAACTTTGCCAGACCTCAATGAAGTGGAGGCTAGCAAAGCCCGACTTCAAGCGTGAGTCGTTTCCGGTTTTGCTACCAAAGGTAGGAAATCGAAGCATCTCAGCTTTCCACAGCGACAGGAAAGAAGTCCACTGCTGAGTTCTGTGCAGTTGCCACAAAGTTTCAGGCCACTGCGCGCTAGGATTGAAACAATTTGAATTTGCCTCATTGCCATGCACCCAATCAAAAGGGCTTTGTAACGCTCTCTCTGATTATTGCCGTCCGGCAGCTGAAGGTCTCCAGTGGCGGCCTGGTGTCCGGTGGGATGAATAACTCCGCGAATTCGACCGGGGCTACATCCTGCTCAGCATGAGTTTGCTCAAGGCTTCCTTAGACCCAAATATCTTGCGTTGCTCTGTGTAAGGACTTATGCTGCTTATGCTTATGCTTGGCTGCGCTTCTGGTCGTGACTGCTCAGCAGCCCCAGAACCATAATATTGCAGATGCGTGGCTGAAGAGAGTGAAGTTCCCACAGACACGGCTGCTCGACGCTACGAGCTCACCAGGCTCACTCTAAAGCCAAACATAAGCTCCAAAACTCGATGCTCGACCGACCCACGCCAAGAAACTTGAGAAGCCTCCCGCCAACCTTCACAATTATAGCATGTTGTCATGCAACCTGTCCCAAGCTCTGAGGCTGCACAATTGACTGACCAATGAGAATCCTAAATCAGAAATCTCAAAATCTGCAGTATGTAGACCAAACTCCGAACTGCTTAAAACCCATTCAAAAACAGATTGTGGAGACGTCCGTTGCGGATATAGCGGAAACTCTACGACTCTACGAGTCTATGATCATCGGGATTCCGGGAGGTCTGACGGAATGCAAACGCTTTCTCCCCGTCAGGTACCTGGCAGTCTTACAAGGGGCCTCGCCAGCACGAACGCGCCCGGTCTCCCAGGTGTCATTCTCAGTAAAGTACCTAAGGTGGGTCAGGATTCTGGGAGAGTTTTCAAAGTAGAGAAATGTCAACACACCCCCCAATTTGATTCCTGTTGCCAGCCCACCAAGGCATTTGAAGCATGGGTTTTGGTTCAAGGCTGATGAACCCGAGGTTGCCCCAGCAAGGACACCCAGCCCTCAATGCCTCGAGACAAGTTCCACTACGAAGGGAACTTTTGGCTGTCTATGTCTGCTCAGATACACGGTGAAGTGGGCGATTAGCGGCAGGTCCCGCGCCACGGTCCAGGTGACATTGCCCCCAAGCTCCTGGGCTGAGAATGGGGCTCCCATCGAAAGAAATCTGGGCCTGTATAATGGGGGTACCTCTGAAGGATTATCTTGAGAAACTGTCTGTAGCAACGGGTCTCATGGGGTTCCCCGCATGCCCTTGTAAACAACGTGGACATTAGCACCCAGACCTTCAGAAAGGGAAAAAATGTAGACACACCGAAGTCTCGCAAACCGAACGGTCAATGTGTCCAGTCCTAAGAATCTATGGCTTGTCCGGAAGTCTGGGCGTAGTTAGCCTCTGAAGTTGACTTCTACCTACAATGTAAAGACACTCCATATGAAATCACGCGTGTTGTGATCCACAAAATAAGGAGCCTTACATGCTCTTATCAGCCACCATAATGCAAGTAGCAGGAATCATAAGAAGAGAATAAGGTGGGCATGACACATCAGCATATCATTTAGTCTGTAGCAAGAGCACAATCCCTGGAATGTTTGATGCTGCCGGGCGCCTCCTCATCTAGGTCCTGGTCCAACAGTTCTACGTCCACAATTTGCCTTACTCACGGAGAGCTTCAGGTTGAGCAGTCAAGCCTACGCATGTCTCCTAGACTCGTAGATTGGCAACTCAAATTCTGGATCCTTGCTACTGCAAAGTCCATACTCGCATCCAGGTCACGCCACGGTGTCCGAAATCAGCAGGGATGCAGGAGTTGTCTGCTCGATCACTGGAGACTTGGTGTAGATGTTGACATATTGGAACCAACCTGAGCTTGTGTCAAAAGGCCGCTGGGCCTCAAGCTCCCTCATTCAAGGCGGGGTCAAGATTCAAGATCTTCCAAGGTACTCAGGTAGTAGCTTGCACGGTCCACAATGCTCATTAAGATCTGCATGCATCACGTAACAGTTGCAACCCTCCAAGCCTCCAAATATCAACCCAAGCTGGGACATGCTGTGTTGCAGGACTGATTTCTGATGTCTTCTGATTTCAACGGAGGTGCTCCACGCTTGCTCAATTGCATATTATCTCAGCCAGGTGTCGGATGGGTGTTTCAGCTGGGAGCTGCGCCAAATTCGTTCCTATCGCGAGGTCCTGGACACGGTGCAGCCCCCCGGTTGCCAAGTCTGCAAAAGGATATACTGTAAACAACGAAATGTGTGGCAAGAACATATTGAGCCTAACTGTGATACATATTACCTGGTCAAAACAGTCTGCTTTCGCGATCCTCTGCGACTCTTGACCGGTTTTCGGCATCGAAGGTGGCTGACAAATAGACCTTGGGTGACATCTTCTGATGACCCTTCCGACGGTGGAGAACTGGCTGCAGCATGCAAAGTTCTCTCCTTTTTTTCTATGCAGGGATGTGACGATTACAATGCTACACGAAAGCTAAAGAGTGGCATAAAGCATACTCCTTTGATAAGTAGGCTGCGGATACATACTGTCGTCTGCTTCGAGAATGGACGTTCCTAGACCCAAAACACCCAGGCCATACTACAGGAACAGATCAAACATGCACATTGGGAGAGAATGATATGGAATTATGGAATGATGCCAATACCCTTGCTAATCCTCAAAGGCCCCAAGCTCGAGGCCATAGGTTGACGCACAAACTGGTCCAGTGATGCCAAGCGGCTGAATAGAGAGTGACTTGTGACGAGTCAACAGGCTTCACCCAAGTAATGTTGCCTCCAAGCTCCTGCACTGGCGAACCGGAAAGGGTTTGATGCAAAGTTCATGAGGCTGTTGGTCTACGCATCCAAACCCTAGGGTACCACCTTGCGGCTCTGCCAGCCGGCACCTCTGAGTAGTTCCTCAGACGCAGCCTCCTGCACCTTCGCAGAATGGGTGGTGGCGTTTCGGGAGGCAACTATTCATGAATCTAGGCGTGGCGCGAAACACACAGATGCTGAAACATGAAGGCGTCCGAAATGCGGAGGTCCAACAACCCCTTAAACAGTCCACCATAGATCTTGTGCGTGCAAATCTCACGTCCAAAGGCTCCTCTTCATCAAGATCACGGTCAATGAACCTTGGAAAGTAGATAGGCAATGCTACATGGAGTTCAGGGAGTGGTTTCTGTCGGTTGTACTGGTTCACGCCAAGCCCTCTTTTGCATCTGTAGTGAGCTGCCACTGACCATACCAAGCTACTTCTCATGATTGCCCTCAGCATGTCCAATACTACCATACCCATCGTAAACACACCCGCTAATCAACAACAACAAGAACAACAACAACAACAACAACAACAACAACAACAACAAGTAGGTTGCACTCACTATCAAGGCGCGACACGAGACCAAGAGTTGGCTGAAAAACACATGACGGGAAGACACGGCATGAGAACTTGACTCAAGACGAGTTGCCGGGACACAGGAAACAAAGCACGAAACACGTGACATGACACGATGAAACGACACGGAAACTCAACAATTGCCGTTGAACAGCCGAAGCATTCGATTCTTCTACGAGCGGGACCCAGACCCCGCTCCTTGACAGGTGCTTGCTGTTTCTTTCAGAAAATCAGTTATGACCCGCGGACCCTCAACACTCGCAAAGAGCTCTTCGGTGATGTGATGTATTCGGAGAAGAAAAGGGGAATGCAGCTGCGGACTTCGGAAGCGTTGCGTTTCCTCGTGCGCCGAAGAGTGCAGAGGAGACCTTGTTCTTCAGTGAGTGGCAGATGCTAAACTCGCGCCAAGGAGCACAATACCGGAAACGGAAGAGGCAGTGTCGTTCAGCTCCAGGAAGGAGGGTGTCGTTTGCTCAACCAGGGCGGACTTTGTGTAGACCACGATGTGAGTGTGGGGTCCTCTCACAAACTTCCACGACTTCCGTCTTGTTGAGAACTAGATCTACACACGGTCCCTGTGGTTGCTCTGGGAGGAGGTCCACGTAGTTCGTGCCCGTTGGGGCATCTTGACCTGAGAATATGCCAGGGTCAACACGTCACTCTCTGTTCCCTGCAATACCAAGTGAGTTACCATTGTCTATTTCTGCTGCAGTTGCTGAATTAAATTTGACGGTATTGGGAAGCACCAGCAACCTGGGCACTTTTGTTTTGGCCTCATGGTGCAAGGTCATGCCTATCGCGGCCATGGAGGTTCGACCAATTGCGGCGTCCAACAAGTGGAAGCTGCGAGTTTGGGGGCTACAGGGTAAGGGCACCGAATTCCCAAGTCTGTAAGCCGTAAGCCAGCGGACCTATCTGGGACCGAAGGTCTCCAGAAGCATTGGCCGCCAAGTAGACCTGAAAAGACAGCTGATGGGATAGGGTAGGGCTCGCGACATTGCCAATGACAAGCGCAACCTATGAGTCTAGCGGTTCCAGCTAACAACTTAGGGGGGGTGGTACAAAGGGGGTGCAGTTAGAGGAGTGAATTTGCGGGATGCCGCGAGAATTCGCGAGGATCTGCGGGATTACATGAAGGCTGATCGAAAATTTATGGTTCCGACGATTAACCTTAAAAGCCCCCTGCCCTTGCCCTCGCGCGGTCTTGGCGTTACATTCGCCTGATGCGCGTACCATGCGTTGGCCAGATGAATACTGCTTGTCCCGGTTGTCCTGGTTTGTCCTGGTTGTCCTGCTTCTGCTGCTTCTGTTCTCCTAATTGTGCTGTTTTATCTTGGCTTGCCCTGGTTGTCCTGCTTCTGCTGCTTGTGCTGTTTGTCCTGGGTTGTCTTGGGTTGTCGTGCTTTGTGCTGCATTGTCCTGTTTGTCGTGCTTCTGCTGTTTGTCCTGGGCTGTCCTTGTTTGGACTGGTTAGTCGTGGTCCGTCCTGGTGTGTCCTGCTGCCGATGCTTCTGCTGCTTCTTCTGCTCGTCCTCATCCGGGACAAGCGGGACGATCAACAACAAAGACGACCGGGACAACCGGGAAAATCAGGACGGCCGAGAACCAGGAAAACCAGGAGAACCGGGACAGCCAGGACCTGGCCCCGCTTGTCCCGGCTGTCCCGCTTGTCCTGGTTGTCCTTTGTCCCAGCTGTCCCGGTTGTCCTGGTTCTCGGTTGTCCCTGTGTCCTGCTTGTCCTGGTTGTACTTCACAACCAAGATAATAACCAGGACGGAAAAGCTGGAAAATGAGGAAGAGCAGGAGAACCAAGACAACCAGGAAGGAAAAGCTGGAAAGCCAGGAAAAGCAGCACAGGCAGGACAACCACGGAAAGCAGGACAGCCAGGACACCAGGACAGCCAGGACAACCAGGGAAAGCAGGACAACCAGGGAAAGCAGGACAACCAAGGAAAGCAGGACAACCAGGACAAGCAGGAAGACCAGGAGAAAGCAGGAAACCCAGGACAACCACGACAACCAGGGAACAGGACAACCAGGACAAGCTAGACGAAACAGGACAACCAGAGAAAGCAAGACCAGCAGGACAACCAGAGAAAGCAGGACAGCCAGGACGGAAAAGCCGGAAAACCATGGAAAGCAAGACAACCAGGAGAACACGAAAATCAGGACAACCAGGACAGGCAGGAAAAGCTGGAATCCAAGGAAAACAGAACAACCAGCACAACTAGGACGGAAAACCTGAAAAAGCAAGGGGGAACAGAAAAACAAGGACAAGCAGGAAAAGCTGCAAAACTAAGGAAAGCAGGACAAACAGGACAAACAGGACAACCAAGCACGAAAAAGCTGGAAAGCCAAAGAAAGCAAGACAACCGGGACAACCAGGAGAAGCAGGACAACCAAGGAAAGCAGGACAAACAGGACAACCAGGGAAACCAGGACGACCAGAACAAGCTGGAAAAGCAGGACAGCTAGGACAACCAGGGAGAGCAGGACAACCAGGAC